GCTCAACCACTGAGCCACTCCGGGCCGGGCACATCTGTTGTCTTAATAGCCCAAAATGGAAACACACAAGTGTCCATCAGAGGGTGAATGGACAAACAGTATACATTGAACACCTGCTGTTAAATAACAAACTTTCATGGAGCGCCTACTATGTTAAGGTGCAAGCCTGTGCTTGAGGAGCTTTTGATTTGGTGGAAAGACCTAGTGGGCAATGAAAAGGTCGATTGGGAGTAGATCATGGAAGGCCTAATAGCCCATGCGCAGGAGCTGGGGCCTTTTCCCAAAGGCAATGGTGAACTGTTGAACACTGTTCTCTTTCATACTCCCACAACTGGTCCCTAAGTCTAGCCAGTGCCTCTCTCTGGAACTTCTTTCAGTCCCCTGCTATATTTCATTCTGTTTCTGAGCCCTCTCCCTTCTCTCCCCTCCAATCTGCTTCAAACACTGCAGTGGATTGAATAGACCTAAAATACAATAGACCCAATTTGGACTCTGCAGTGCTCATAACATCCTCTGGCTCCATCTTTAAGAGGAGAAAGATGTAAAAGCTGCTACCAGTTGAAAGAATGCCAGTTGGAGAAGGAAATTAGGAAAAACTGCAGAGTCTGATATACAAAATAAACGATAAAACCAAGTGAGTTGACCCCAAGTCTGAGATCCTTTATCCTCACAAAGGGGTTTCATGTTTGGACTGTCTTACAGATTAAGAAAAAAGATGCTCTGCAGCTAGTTTTTGTTGTTTGTTTTTTTAATCAGCTTTACTAATGAATACTTTACATATAATAAAAATTTAAATATAGTTTGATGAATTTTGACAAACGTATTCAATCATGTGCCCACTGCCACAATCAAGATAAAGAATTGATCATTCCAAAAAGTTGTGCCCCTTTACAATTCATTTCTTCCCCCCACCTCCACTCCTTAGCAACCACTGATCAGATTTCTGTCACTATAGCTTTGCCTTTTCTAGAAGGTCATGTAAATGGAATTATACAGCATGTAGTCTTTTATGTCTGGTTTCTTTCACATAATGCTTTTGAGAGTCACCCATGTTGTCTCATATATCAGGGACCTGTTCCTTTTTATTGCTGATTAGTACTCTGTCATATGCATGGGTATATCATAATTTTTTATTCATTCATATTTGATAAACACTTATGTTGTTTCCTGGTTGGGGCTATGATGAATAAAGCTGCTGTAAACAATCACATGCAGATCTCTGTGTGGTCTCTGTTTTTCTTGCTAAAAGACTTGGGAATAGAATTCATTGCTGGTTATAGAGTAGGTGCATGCCTAACTTTATAAGAACTGTCAAACTGCTTTCTAAAGTGGCTGCCCCATTTTGGAGTCCCCTCCCACACATTCCTGCAATGTATGAGGGGTCCAGTAGTTCCAGGCCCTCTTAGTACTTAGTTTGTCAGTCTTTGTCATTTTAGCCATTCCAGTAGCTATATAGAGTATCACATTGAGGTTTGAATTTGCATGTTCCCATGACTAATGATACTGAGCATCTTTTCATGTTTATTGGCCCTTCATAGATGTTTTTGGGTCAAGCGTCCATTCTAGATAGATTTTTGACTAAGACATAGGAGACAGTTCTCAGAAGTCTCTGGGTAGCTGACATAGCAAGAACAGGTTAGGAAGTTGTGTTTATTTTCTTTGGGAATGGTCCAAGGCCCAGGGAGTTCAAGAATTAACCCCATGCCCTGGACATAATTGGATTTCAGGGGAATTAAGGGACTTCCAAGATGATGCATTTTGGTTACTCTTTAAGCACAATGGTTCTTACCTTTTGGCTAGGAAGGAGGTCAGAATATGTGAAACACAGATACACATAGATACAAAATTGGGCATATGATTTCAGAGAAGGTTTTGCACTCCCTTTCCATGACAACTTCCCTTGAAGTGCAAATCAAGGCCCAGGTGTGAGGAAGGAAGATGGATTTGTTGCCAGCTTATCCTGGGCTGAGAAAGGTGGAAATATTTCAAGTGAGAAACCTCCATCTAAAGCTCTTCATGCATTTTTGCCCACACCCAGGTAGTCTGTTTATTTTGAGAGAGCCACATTGGACACAAATACCAAAATACCTGTACAAGGAAGACAAACCAAAATAATTGGTTGAGTTGAATTTCTGACCCTCTCTTCTCTTAGTTCAGCAAGCACTATTTACAATGCAAGGGAGACAGCAACCATGTTCCAAGCACCTATCTCACACTTTGTTTTTATCTCACTTGATGGGTTTTTTGGGGGGTGTTTGCAATACAGCCCAAGAAAGAGACACTCATCCTCCTTCTCAGAGCCTCCTGGACTTTGCAGCTGCCACAGGCATCTTTACCAATGTCTCTTCCACCCTCCAAATTTTAGAGAGGCAATTTGAGAAGCCTCTGGTTGCCCTCAGCTCACTTCCCATCTGAACTCATCTGTTTCTTCTATGTGCTGTCTTCAAAAAGGAAACCAAAGTCCAAACTCTCATTTCTATCACCATGTGTACCACCAGATGAACCTCAGGGACTTGGTTGCAGCATTATTCAGTGTCTTGAGTAACTCCTTTCCTGGGGAACCTTCCCTGAAGTGCCCACCTGAAAGTGATTCGTCCTCGAGCTGAGTTCCTACAGCGCCTGACTTGTTCCTCAAACATGTCTACAGTGGAGAATGTAGGAGGTGAGTCCATGTCTCACCTCCCTTGTGAACAACTTGAAAAGAGTTTAGATTTTATTCATCTTTTTTTCCTCTGAGCTGTTTAGTTGTATATAGCTTTAGCAATACTAATCTTAGCTCCTTTTTGAAGTTAAATAACAACATGTTCAAAGTTGTATATGTGGACGAAACCCAGCCTCACTGGTACTTGTTGCTTACACAAGGTCAGGAAAAGCAGATCCATGACAAAAGGGATCTTTGGACAGATCTACTGTTGGTTAATTGTTAACACCATGATCACTCCTTTTCCCATCAGCTATTGCCTCACAAACAAATGCAGAGAAATTTCTAGACAATTGTGTTTGTTTTAACTGAATATGGAGAAAAACAAAACAACAAAAGGGAGAGATTGCCAGAGCCCTGCTCAAATCCAGGCTGTGGTTCAGGTAAGGCTGTGCTGATCAAGCAAAACTCCCTGATCTGCCCACAAAGGCCTCCAAGCTGAGTCAGCTGAAAGGGGCTAATCCCCAGGAGGGACTGATTCCTAAAGCTATGGAGGCCACACAGCCGCACAACACTAGAAAACAGCATAACGGAAGCTTAAAGTGGCATTGTGTAGGGAGAGGACATAGAAGCGCAGGGGAAGGTCTTGGCTGTCCTGCGGACTGCCTCTGTCCCCTCTCGAGCTGCTGGGTCATTTAGACAGCTCAGCCTTGGACAAGGCCCAGATATTAGGCTGATTCCAAGGATGTGGATGCTGAGTTGTCAGCTGGTGAAGGGCCCAGTTGTGCGGTAGGGAATGGAGGTGGGGTAACTAATACTTTAAAGCAAGGCAACCAACTACAATATTACTGATTCTGTAACAGTCAGTCAAACAGCTGGCACAAAATTTATACTGCAGTACATGCTGGGCTGAGGAAAGAAAAGGCGGTGGGAGGAAACCACATCAGGTATATAGGAGCCTACCTCATGAGTCATTAAAAGAGAAACAGCATGTGAAAATGTAAACTGATGCAAAGTCAAAATGCCAAACATGTAAAAGAAAGAGGAGTCTACGGCATCGAGAAAGGAATGTGTTCAGCCTGTCCAAGCGCATAGAAAGCTACTGACAAATGAGACCTGGCATGGTTGGGCTACTTAACAATCGAAAAGAGGACATCAACAAGGAAGACAGCAGGATGGAGCTTTCCAGAGAGAATGATCTGAGTCCCAGGGGCTTAGAGAGCCCTTAGGAAAATTAAGGAGGCCTAGAAGGTTTTCTTCAAAATGCAGTCACTTGGTCAGGCACGTTGCCAGGCAGATACCCAGACAACACTGGATTAATTCTTTGTTGGTTCTAGGAATCAGTGCATGGCTGCAATTATAACTCATGTTTTTTAAAATGTAAAATATACTCTTTTCCAGAAGACTTAATTATTTCATTTTCCAAGAGGAAGCACCAAGCATGACTTTTGGAAGGTATTTCCTTTGGAATACTGGTCTCTATTTTAAGTGACCATCCCTGCCAATCATGTGGAACTCCTCCTTTCAGCTCAGTCTTCCTCATTGGAACTGATGTCCATGTGGGCAGGGATCACATCGCGTCCTGGTCACTGATGAAGCTACAGTGCTGAGCACAAAGCAGGGATGGATGGATGGATGGATGGATGGATGGATGGATGGATGGGCAGATGGATAAATGAATGGATAGATGGACACACAGATAGACGGAGAGATCGAAAAGGAGTCCATAAAAAAGGAGCCTTTATTTGGGGTGAGTTGAGGGTGTTACTAGTACAGGCCCTTGATGGTATTCACGGAGTTATTCCAGCTGTCCTTCCAGCGCTGGGCCTCCTTCACCTGTGCTGTGTTGTCTCTCTGGATCTTCTTCAACTCCTCCTCAAACAATGCTAAATATTTCTAGGAGCAAGGCAGCAGGAGGAAGCCACGTGAGAAGAGACATCTGGACTCTGCCCTAGAGGAACACTGCACATGCCGGCAGGTAGCTTTCCCCCACCCCAGGCACTGGCAAGAGTTCCACAAGTCATTTCTCATGTATCTGCCCAACAATCAGTCAGGCAAGTCTGATTGTTTTCCTTGTTTTATAGGTGAGGAAACTGAGGCTCAGTCTGAACCTTGCCTGGGGTCACCCAACTAGAAAGAGACTAAGCAGGGGCTAGGACCCCCGTCTACTAGACTACGGACTCCACAGTTCTTCCTAACTGCTGCCCCGCACTGTGGCTCCCTGGAGCTTAGGAGTCCTGGCTTCCTCGGGGGGCTGAGCCCTCCNAATGGATGGATAGATGGACACACAGATAGACGGAGAGATCGAAAAGGAGTCCATAAAAAAGGAGCCTTTATTTGGGGTGAGTTGAGGGTGTTACTAGTACAGGCCCTTGATGGTATTCACGGAGTTATTCCAGCTGTCCTTCCAGCGCTGGGCCTCCTTCACCTGTGCTGTGTTGTCTCTCTGGATCTTCTTCAACTCCTCCTCAAACAATGCTAAATATTTCTAGGAGCAAGGCAGCAGGAGGAAGCCACGTGAGAAGAGACATCTGGACTCTGCCCTAGAGGAACACTGCACATGCCGGCAGGTAGCTTTCCCCCACCCCAGGCACTGGCAAGAGTTCCACAAGTCATTTCTCATGTATCTGCCCAACAATCAGTCAGGCAAGTCTGATTGTTTTCCTTGTTTTATAGGTGAGGAAACTGAGGCTCAGTCTGAACCTTGCCTGGGGTCACCCAACTAGAAAGAGACTAAGCAGGGGCTAGGACCCCCGTCTACTAGACTACGGACTCCACAGTTCTTCCTAACTGCTGCCCCGCACTGTGGCTCCCTGGAGCTTAGGAGTCCTGGCTTCCTCGGGGGGCTGAGCCCTCCAGGCTTCAAGCCCTCACTGGACTCAGCAGGCAGAGCCACCCCCTCTGCCTGGGGTTTGTCACGATGGCTGGGTAAGGGTTGGCCCTGGCACTGTAGGCTTTCCCAATACCAGGGTCAGCATATCTCTGGGCAGGAAAAGGTTTCTCTCTGGGCACTGGGACCAAAGGTCCAGACATCTTCAGAGCTGAGAGGTCCCACAGGTGGCATCAGGGTGTAGCCTCTTCTTTGGGCAGGCCCGGGTATCTAACAGGCACTTGGGTTCTAACCCTACCTTTGCCACTCTGTAGTCGCATATGGGGGGGCATGTTCTTTAAGCCTCAGTGTCCTCATCAGTAACATGGGGGCAATTCTACCTTCCCCATGGGGCTGTTACAAGGATTCAATGAGCTGCCTCATGCTGAGAAAGAAACTGTCAGCTGTTCTACCCACTGTTCCCAGGGCCTCCATGCCTCCGGCTAACTTTGGCCCCTGGCTCTGATTCAACTGTCCCTCTGGAAAGCCTTCAGCCCTCAGTCTGGGTGGGGTGTGTTTTTACTGGGCTCCCACAGCAGTGGGGCTCATGCGATCACACCCACACTGTCACTGGGACTGGACTGGACATGGCTAGCAGCTCACATCCTTGTGTTTGAGAACAGCAACTGTCTTGAGTATTGACACTGTGCTCTGTGGCACCCTGACTTGTGTCATCTGCTCCATGGACAAATGTCAGGGCACCTGTGATGGGAAGCTTTCTCCTCCAGCCAGCCAAACTGGGCTGCTGTGCATTCCCGTGGACACGCCTGTCCCAGCCCGTCTCCCCACTCACCAGGTAGACAGCATCTCGGGCTTCCACGGCTGCCAGGTGGCCCAGGGTTGTTTTCATGGTGGTGATCGATGATGTTTTCCGGAGGAGAATCTTGTTTTGGATGGTGACTTCAGTGGGTTTGATTCCAGGCCACTTCCTACAAACAAACATGCATGTAAAAGCCCCACAGGCTTGGCTTCAACATTCACTGTGCACCCACTAACCCTGGTGGGAAAGGTAGCATTTCTTTAAATGTCTTAATTAAAAGAAAAGCCCTTCTGAGCATTTAATGTTAAGCTTCTTCAAGTTATTTTTTGTATTTTCATACTGTTTAAATCCATGTGAATAAACAGTTTTGGGTTCTGTGTGGGGAAGGGGAATGTCACTGCTCCAGTTGCTTCCTATTTCAGAGCCTTAGTTTCCTCATCAGTCGGCCAGCCAGGTAGGTGGCAGTCGCAGTTCCTGGTCTATTTTTTTCCTGCTGTGCTGTAAAAGCCACTGCTAAGAACTTAGCTGGGCAAATCACTGCCTCACTTCTTCCAGAGTCACATTCTCGGGACACAGTAATAAGCACATTGATAGCTTTCATCACACATTCACAGTGCCGCCTGCAACCCAAGAATGTGCCTCACAGTGGGATAGGCCTCCTTTTCTTTGTGGACCCCTTTGTGGGTTCTAGCAGCCACTGAGTTCTCAGTACGTGCCATGGGCACTCCAATCTCATTTAACTTTCTCTTCATAATACCATGTAGGGTAGGCTGTTGTGCCCATTTCACAGATGAGGAAACTGAGGCATAGAACCATAATGCCTTTCCCAGGGTACCAGGTCTGTTATTTCACTGCACTGCCCCCAGCAAATATAGCCATTCATGGTATTTCTCCTGTTCTTGGCTCTTACCTGCTCCCCCTTTCAGTCAGGGGCTTCTCACTCTCTTCCTCCAGGGAGAGCCCGGCGAGTTTCCTCCGTATAAGGACTGATGTTTTCTGTTTGGGGGGCTCCATCTCTGGCAGGCAAGAGATAGGTTACTGACAGTGGCCTTGCCCACAGCCTGAGTTCAAGGGGCCCAGGCCCTGACCTTACATTTAGAGAAATGAAGGCTCACTCCCCTTCTCCCCATTTGGAGTCTCCTGTGGGAGGCAGAGCCCCTTTCCACTGAAAAGCTGAATGCACCAGATATGTAGGCTATATTCTTTATTTTTTAAAAAGACTTTTTAATGATTCTTAGAGAGAGAGGAAGGGAGAGGGAGAGAGAGAGAGAAACAGCCATGTGAGAGCAAAACATGGATCAGCTGCCTCCTGCACACCCCCCACCAGGGATCAAGCCCACAACCCAGACATGTGCCCTGACTGGGAACCAAACCAGCAACCTTTCGGTGCCCAGGAGGATGCCCAACCAACTGAGCCACGCTGGCCAGGGCCGCAAGCTGTATTCTTAACTTTCTTTGTAATTTATATTGAATTTCTTATTTTATATAATAAATATTTATTGTCTTTGTAATAAAACTTTTAATAAAAGTAATACATTTTAATTACTTAGTAGGTTAGTGATAAATGGGTAAGATTTAAGGTATGATTTGGGTCTTTTATAGTTATAAAAGTAATATGCACATTACAAAGACTTTAAACATCACCTAACCTGGAAAAAGAAAAGATTTTAGAAGTCTTTCGTAATCCCAGTCACCAGAGGGGATCATTGTCAACAGTCCGGCCTCTCAGGCTCTGTCTCTCATTCTCTCTGTCTCTCTCGCACGGATTCATTTACATATACGTATGTGTGTTTATATCATGTGTGTGCTTTTTTTTAATGGTATCATAGACAAGTACTGACTGCCAACTTATGTTTTCACATACATATAGACCGCTAAACCCACTTTAATATCTGAACAGTAGTCATTGTACATTTTGGCCATAATTTATCCAATCCCCTATACCTAGATATCAGTATTCTTTCCAATTCTTTGCAATATTAGTACTGTGATGAATATGCTTTGAAGCATATCCTTGAAAAACTGTGCAAGTGTTCCTGTTGGATAAACTCCTAGGATAAGGAAGTATGAGGTCAAAGGTGTGAGGTGTGCACATTAAGAATTGTGACAGGTACTGACAGAGGTTTCTCCACGAGAGTAGTATCGATGTTACACTTCTCCAGGGGTCTCTGCGGCATTAGGGCTTCCTCACATTCTCACCAGGGCTGGTTGCCACTAAACTTAAAAGCCTTGCAAGGCTGTTGGCCAAAACTGATATCTTCATTGTTCATATTTGCATTTTTCATCATCAGTAAAGTCAAGCATCTGTTACATTTACTGGCCACATGAATTACTTCACTTTTGAATTGTATGTGTTTGTCTTCTGTCTCTTTTTACAAATTTGACCTGGTAGAGTTCTTTGTACCACAGGAATATTAGGCCTTTCTCTGACCTTTAGGATATTAGGAATATTTTTCCAGTTTGTGGTTTGCCTTTCCTTCTTTCGAAATTTCCCCTTGTCTTTGTTTTGGCCACAGACAAGTGCCAGCCATTTTCTTTATGGTTCCTGGCTATCATCTCATACTTAGGAAAGTTGTCCCTACCCCAAGATTATGAAAATATTTACTAGTAGAGTTTCATTTTTTTTTTAACATGTAATCGCTGACCCATTTGGGATTTGCTATTTTAATTTTTAAAAAGGTACTTTTAATGAAAACAAATAAATGCTTCAGTTCCCTCTGTGGAGAATCTGTTTTTATTCTGGTGGAGTTGGAGAAAAGCAGAAATCACACAGGGCCCATCAGCCTACGCCTCACCAACCCCCTGGGGCCAGGACACAGGGTGGTGGTGCCACTTACTTGCAACCTGGACATCATCGATGGTGACCACTTCGTCCAACTGCAGCAGGAACTTCTCGGTGAAGGTGGCCAAGCTGGCTATGAATAACCGGCCATGCCTCCTGGTGCATTCCTGGGGGAAACACAGGGGAGTCGGTGCTGGCGGTGGAGGACCTTGCCTCTGACAGCAGGCTGAGGGAGGATCTGGGGAGCCAGTGGGTAACAAAAGACCAAAGCCATGTGTCAGCTGTATTCAAGGTAACTGGCATTTGGTCCTCTGCCAGGAGACCTCTTCCAAGAGGTGACTTGGCTTGAAGATAGGAAATGATTTAGAAATGGCCAAGAGACAATTCACCAAAGAAGAAATAAAACTAGACATGGATCTTGAAAAAAAAGTTCTCATTAGTAATTTTGTAATTAATTAATTAATATAGAAATTTTAAAAATGCAAGTTAAATGCATAACCCATGGATACAGACAATAACATGGAGAAGGCCTGGTGGGGGGCAGATGCAGAGTGGAGGGGATCAATGGCCGGGGAAACAGGACATCTGTAATACTTTCAACAGTAAAGATTTTTAAAAAAAGGCAAGTTAAAGCAGCCAATAATGACCATCTCCACCTATAAAACCTGCCTGCTTTCATCCCCCAGTTTGGCCAAAGTGCCAGCAAAAAGCTGCGCTGCTGGCACCTTGGGGCTGCAGACTGGGGTGATCTCTCT